CTGCTGCTGGTATATAATGTTCTCCCAGTCCGATTTGTCATACCGACATCAACCATTCCGAAGGAATTATTAAATTTCATTTTTATGCTTGTGATAACTGCTATAGCTTGTATTGTTAGTGTGACAGCTTTAGAATCACCATGGAAACCAACTTCTGGGTACGTCTGTGAGTTTGTCAACTATGCTAATTAAGGGGGAAGACCATCCTAGCTGTGGATGGAAACAAACTTCTAGAGTTTGTCAATTATGCTAATACAGGAGAAAGACGATCCTAACTGAATGTCAGCCTTCTGTGGGTTCGGATCTTAGGGGAAGGCTGGCTGTGCACCGGGCTTCCTCAATCTCTGCCTCCTGACTACAGATGCCATGTGACCAGCTGCCTCAGGCTCCGACCACTATAAAGTCACTCCCACGACTTCCGTTCAAACTGTGGACCAAAATAAGCCCTTCTGCTTAAAAGTTGCTTTTGTCCATATTCTGCCCCAACTGTATGTAAAGTAACTAATGCAGAAAATAAAACTTCAACCACAAGATTTTCTGCTTGGAGAATCCAGTCTCTCAAGCTGTTTGCTCATGTTGACCAACTGAAGTACCTAAGGCATAATTATTATTTATCTGTATGTTAAAAATACTGCTATTCTGATTTTTTTTAAACAAGATCTCATTACATCTTCAGTCTAGAACTCACCACGAAGAGCAGGCAGGACCTTGCACAAACTCGTGGTTCTCCTAACTCAGTCTCCCAAGTTCTGGGATTATTGTAACCATCATTCCTGGCTTGATTTTTTTAATAAGCTCCACTCTTCCTCTCCCTTCCCCTCTCCTCTCCTCTCTGTTCTCCTCTCCTCTTCCTCAATGTGATATCTATATCTATCTATCTATCTATCTATCTATCTATCTATCTATCTATCTATCTGTGATATATGTGAGATATATGATTATATATATGATATATATATATATATATATATATATATATATATATATATATATATATGATGCTGGGGAGTCGGAAGGAAAGGATTACACAGCAGCAGCAGAGTTCAAGGCTCAGTGAAACCCCAGGTGGTCTAGAGACCATCTTGACCACACAAGAGCTTGGGGGTCAAAGGGGGTATGCAGATGACAGGAGAGTTCTGTTGACTGAAAGGAGAGCCCAAAGTCCTGCCCCTCCTGCAGGAGGTATTTAAATAAAGGGAAAGTCTGTAGAGGTCAATGTGTCAGCAGGCCTCTGTTCCACACTGTCTGCTTCAAAAATCCGAGTAGGTGCCCAAGCTACAGTCACATTTACGTTTGGTGATGACTTGGGCCCTGGGAAAGGTGGACTCATACTTGGCAGTCTCCATGTAGAAGGAAGTGGTTGTACTCGTTAGAAACAAAAAAATATCTAGTGAAAGGATTTGAAGAGCTAAACAGTATTCATTAGTGCAGTTCACCTTTATTCCCGCACCTCATGATGGAAATTTCTCACACGGATTTTCTTGCACATGTATGTAAAACAAGTTCAGTTTGCGTCGAATTGCAAAGGTTAGGAAGTCATACACCTGCTCACTCAATAGGAAACTTGCGAAAGAAGTGGTAACCCAGTGATCCAATTGACAGCTAGTCAGAAATAGAACGAAGTATTCCCATAACCCGGTACTTAGCAGGGAGACAAGAGTTGGAGGCCTAGGGCTGAGAGGATGGCGCAGCAGTTAAGAACACATTCTGCTTTTCCAAAAGACCTATCGCCAATGGCTCACACCACCTATAACTCCAACTCCAGGGAATCTGACGCCCTCTTCTGACCTCCGCGGCACCCGCACTCATGTGCAGAGCCACACACACAGATGCACACATGCACACATACTTTAAATTAAAAAAAAAATTTAAAAATGAACAGCCCCCAAGAAGAACTGCATTAACAAACGTATCTCCAAGATACTCTGCTAAATCGAGGGGGAAGAGAAGGCTCAGAGCGCTATTTAGTAGCCTGGCTTTAATTTTTGTACTTGATATAAACATTTAAAGGAGAAAACTGAGAAGTGTTTGCTTTTGCTTATGTTAAGAAAACAAACTAATGAAAGTAGCTATCCACAGGCCGGCGGATAAAAGTACTTCCTATGCAAATCTGACGACCAGAGAGTTTGATCCCCAGATCCCAGGGTATAAGGACAGAATCAATGCCCAAAGTCGCTTGACTTCAACATGGGCTGCGGCACGTGTGCCCCACCCAGTACCCACATATACACTAACAAATTACAGTTTACTTTTAAGGTTTGGGCTGTTATTTTCATTGCAAAGTGACCACAATTCTTTTTCTTAGTTCCTCGATCCTATTCAGCCCTTCCCCATGCCCTCCTGATTCACCCCTCCCCTCCCTACGCACCCAAATCCGGTTTCCTTTCACCCTCAAATCTGATCTGCGTGCCCATATATTCTTGGATGTGTGGCCCTCCAGTGGGGGTCGCCTCACCCACCAGGGGCTAAACTCTTAGAGGAAATTGCCTCTTACTCTCCCAGCAGCTGTGGGTTGCCAATAGCTCCCAGCTGTGGGTGGGACTTCGTGTCCATCTTACCCCTCTCGGTGCTGCGATTTAATTTCTAAAGTAGTTTGTCTTCAAGGATAGGAGTGACCTGATTAAATGTAGATACTGCAAAGCAAAATGGCTTCTCAGAGCGCACACAGTTGGACATTGTGAGGCTTAAGTCGGTAATACATTGTTTATTTAAAATGTTTAAGAGTGAATGGTTCGAAGGGATCTGAGTGTAGGTGACCAGACCCCACTTACCTTGGAATTTCGTCTCTACCCATGTAGTGACTGTCATTGGTAGGACTGCTGGTTAACTGTATCAGTTAGGAGTCTTATAGGCAAAATGTCAGATGTGTCTTGGGCTGGGTCTGGTGGCTCATACCTGTAATTTCTGAATTTGGGAAGCTGAAACAGGAAGACTGTTGCAAGTTCACGGACTTGGTTAGAAAGTCAAGTTCAGGCCAGCCTGGGCTACCAGACCAGATCCTGTCTCAGTTTTTTTTTTTTTAAATGAATCCTAAATTTATTCCTATCAGAACAACAGGCCACTTCTAACTGAAAAGTACAGAGGCAGAACCGGCTTGGGGCTGGGGGAGCACCAGGAATTGCTTCCCAAGAGGGAATGCCTCCACCACAGGCTTCCCAGCATCTCTGGGCACCCCAGCTTCAACCTCACACACGGCTGGTGTCTCCTCCAGCCTTTTCTAAGCACCGACTTTGGAGGTCTCTGCCATCTCCAATCTGAGCTTGGGGTTCTGTTGCCCTTCGTTTTAGAACATGAATCTGCTGGGGGTGAACAAGGGGAGCCAGCAGCTCCCCTCCGGGGCTCCAGTGCGGTTGATCTCTTGTGCAACCGACATGATGCAGATGCATGACTTTCTGGACTTGAGAATGTGAGACATTCAGAGCCAGACCAAGAGTATGTGTGTGGGGAGACAGCTGGGCTTATGGGCTTGCCAGAATCAGGGAGAGGGAGAGAGGGAGAGACCACTTATCTCCCCCACCACTGCTCCCCTTTCCTCATTCCAGGCCCAAACTCCAGACCAGCGTGTCTCCAAGTGAGGAGAAAAAAAAAAAAATGGGAACACGGGACAATGCCACATGTAAGGGATGTTAGGAAACCCAAACACAGTTCGGCACTGATGTACTTAATTTGGTTTATAAAATGCAATTTGCAATTTCTGTGGAATCCTCTGTTAGTGTTAAAAGGGAAGACAAAAGGGCTCAGTGGGATAGAAGTCAGGAAAACAGAGCCCCGGACTGGAGGCTGTCGCCATGGGGCTGGAGACTGCTCGCAGGTCGCTGGACCACTCCGTTAGTTTCCTCATCTGAAAAACGTGATAATAGCCTAGTCAACGTCACAGAGGTTGGACAGAAACTTAAGAGCCATGACCTAAATGTTAACAAAAGGCACATGTGTTACCGAAATGGCTTACTCGACCTTTTTATCTGAAGAGGTTATTAGTGACTGACTATAGCTTGATTTGCTCTCAAGCAAGTTAGGCTTTTATTATTATTATTATTATTATTATTATTTATTATTATTATTATTAACCTACCAATCGGGGCAACCAGTTTCAAATCCCAAGAGGGAAACAGGCAGTATGGAGAGTCCCAGCGACACCTTCTTTCTTTCTTTTTTTTTTTTTTTTTTAATTTTTTATTTATTTATTATGTATACAGTATGCCTGCAGGCCAGAAGAGGGCACCAGATCTCATTACAGATGGCTGCGAGCCACCATGTGGGTGCCGGGAATTGAACTCAGAACCTTTGGAAGAGCGGCCAGTGCTCTTAACCTCTGAGCCATCTCTCCAGCCCCTTCTAATCCTGCAGTCCCGAACGCCAGTTCTACCCTGACCCGAGACAACAGATGCTCTTGGCATTGAACAGGAGTAGTTCTGAAGCCTGTAGCTCTAAGAGTCTTGACTGATACAAAATGCCGACCGACACTGCCTGAGAGTCGGCAGGGAGGGATCAGTCCTGCCCACATGTAACACTACGTAAACTACAAAACAGGAGGTTTAAGCCACGTCTTTATTCTTACGTGTTTATCTCTGTGTGTCTGGGGTGTACACATGTGTGTGCACGCAAAGGCCGGAGGATGCCGGGTGCCGTTCTCTACCTCTCTCCGCCTTATTTCCTAGACACAGGGCCTCTCGCTGAACTCAAAGGTCTCCGTGTCCCCACCTGGCCATCTGGCCGGCCAGCCATAACCGTCCCCCCCGTATCCTGACCCCTCCCAGCACTGGGGCTGCAGGGCACGTAGCCACATTCAGCTCTTCTGTGGGTGCGAGGGAGTCGAACTCGGGTCTTGGTGCTTGTACAGCTCTTACCCACGGGGTCGCTCCCCCAGGCCAAGCCACACCCTGATAACAAACGTCCAACCGTCTGGAGCCAGCCCAGATAACTACACTTCATCATAGCACCAAGGTGACATTTTTATTACAAAGACAAGTTACTAAAATAAAGAAGTGTTTTATTTTCCCTTTTCAGGCATGAAGTCCAAGGAAATATACATTTGTAGAAATTAAAAATAATACCAGAATGGGGATAACGTTGGAAGCTGCATGGAGTCAGCAGAATGGGGTGGTTTGGGGACTTCTCAGTTTGTCAAGACAGGTCTAGCCCATGTAACAATTTCTGTGGTATCTTTCCAGAAGAGTTGTCACAGAATCATAAAGCCCAAACAGCTAAAACGTGTATAGTATACAATGCAAATGGGTAGCACTACTAAGTAGCACAGACTAGCTGTGGGCATCAAAATAAACAGTAAACTAGAGTGAATAAACCCCCTAGACAGCACCTCAAATGTCCCTGGTCATTGCTTGATTTGTTCACTCACTTACATATGCATACATGCCATGAGAATTTATTAAGCACCTACTGTGTGCCCGGAAGGCACTGTGTTGAACTCTAGGTGAAGGCACAGGTTCTGCCCTGAAGGAGTGAATGCCCGGGCTTCAGTGGGAATGCAGAGGAGCCGCCTGCACTCTGGGAAGTTCCAACAATATTCCTGCTCAAAGCACGGAGCAGCATGGATTCGGTCAACCACAGCTTCGCACAGGGAAGGTGTCCACTCCTCTTGCTCCTCAGAATGACTAAAGGTCACTGTCTTTTTGTCCGGGGAATACAACAGGGAAACATGGCATCGCATCATCACAGTGGACTCAGACGTGGGTGTCACTTTCTACCCCTCCACACTTAAGGAGACACGGGATGGGACGTCATGGCAGAAGTGGCCGGTGAACCTCACCCACCCGGGAGTCACCACTGCGTGGTCCTCGAGCCCCAGGTGCCCCCTCACCGAGGCTGTCCAAGTGGGCTGCTCTGGGCCTGGCACGTGTGCCCTCCAGGCAGAACCGCTTGCCCACACTTAGACATGGAACTGAGGATCTGGTCAGCACCTCGAGGCCACCGCTTCCTCCGCAGCCGCTGTGAACCGGATGAAGGGGTGGAGTCTGCAGGCCTTGCTCAGGAAAGGGCCTGACTCAGCTTCCTGGAATGTCCCACAACAGTGGCCACAGGCGTTGAAAGGAACATTTACAGTGGCCTGCACCTGGGCTTCTGCGGCCATCTCCTTTCCCCTGTCTCGGCTCTGTGTTCTCTTTGACTGGCTTACAAGGAAACTAAGAAGTCTCACTTCTTAAGTCCCAGGGAAGGGCTGAGCCCATCCTACCAGGAATTAGTTCCTCGGGCCCCAGTTAACTGCAGCCCGGAACCTTTAATTGCAGCTCCGTGGCAGAAGCAAAGGAGGAGGCTGAATTTTCAAACGGAGGTCTTCCACATCCGCTGGCTAATGTGCATAGTAAATGGTTTTGAGGCCTTAACTGTAGAAGCATTGTGTTTAATGCACTGAAAATCAGAATGCTTTAGTATTAATTTATTAACTAAACCTCTACCATGAGGACATATACTCACTATGAATGAGATTATGTAAATGCTCTTGTGATGAAAATGTATGCAGATCATTGTGTTTTTTAAAAAATGCAATTTTGAAGTGAATGTCCCCCTGATTTGGTTTCTTTTTCTAAAAAAATGTACTAAACATTTTTTCACTTAGTGTATTTTCATAAATCATTGATACATAAAAAGTCTAAAGAATCTATACAAAAATAATCCCCCATTTTCTGTAATGCCTCATCTTCTCTGCCTATGAATTTGTTCATATAAAGAGTGTCTTAGAAAATATAAAAATATTGCTAATGTGTCATCGATGCTAAACATTCTCTAGGAAAACATACCTTTGTAAATAGAACAACTACTAGAAATTCTTAATGAAATTCAAGTCCCGGATGTGCCACAGATGAGTCCCGATCAGGGTGACATCCAAGTCCGTCTATCCTCTGTGCCACTTCCAGAAACTGTCTGTGACGAATATTCACTGAGTGAGACAGGATTCTCGCTCCTTCAAAAGTCATCACTGATTTCTGTGGATATCCTTAGGGTAACACTCTACAGAGAAGGAAGACAAGAACGTCAAAGAGTGAGGCAAGTCCAGTATTAGCTATGACGGTCTCAGAAGCTTTTGTCCCCCAAGAGGTGACCCCTCTATTGTGCCGTGCTTGAACTGGGTCCTAAAGGAGTTTCTTGGCTCTGTACATCATTTTAGCCAATGACTCGCTTATTCTAAAAGGTGAGAGTCTCCCTGTGGTCAAATATGCTAAGGTCTTGTCTTCTCTTGATCTTGGGGATTTTTTTTTTCAACAACATAAGGGTTTTTTTGTTTGTTTGTTTTTATTTCAGGACTGAGGACCGAACCCAGGGCCTTGCACTTGCTAGGCAAGCGCTCTACCACTGAGCTAAATCCCCAACGCCTTTTTTTTTTTTATTAACATAAAGTTTTTTACACAGTCATATTTTCTGGGTATTGGAACTAGTGAGAGCTTCCTGAACACAGCCAGGACTTGGGGCATCAAATAGCGGATAACATGAAAGTTTCCCTGGTTAAGTGGCCCGTTAGAGATGTGTCTACTGCATCCCCCTTTGGGAACAAGCTCATAAAGTTGCGTGGTCCACAATGCCTGCTCCCCCAACACACACAGCATCAGAATGAAAAGAGAGCGTTTCTCAAAATGCAAGAACGCTTCTAAATTTTACTAATCCTAATCATCACTGATTCATATAAGATTTAAACTGATGAATCCTTACCTGGAAATCTTGGATGAATGTTAGGAAATAGAAAACAAAGCCAAAGGCCACGGTCCACTCGCAGATAGCGCTCACTACGTGATACACGTAATCCTAGTAGCAACAAAGAAGCAGGGTTTAGCCTAAAAGGGCTCATCCGAAGGAAATCACCTGAAACACGAGATCACCAAGACCAGAGAGAAAGGTTGCCCAAGAACATAAACTGCAACCTTGAGAAAACGCCACATGCAAAGCCTTGTAGCAAGAGGTCCGAGAGCAACCCAGGGCTGACGGGAATGCAAACGGACCCAAAGTTCTTCAGACCTCTCCCTCCGTGTTTGAAGACTCAGTGTATGTAACTTCAAAATTAGGCAGATTAACGACCGCAGAATAGCTGAGACCTTGAAGCCCATTTGGACCCCAGTGAAGACAGAGCTTGACTTGATTTGGTTGCCCTTCCCTGGGACCCCCATAGTTGAAGGGCACACTGAAGTGTCTAGTGGGCACTCCCGGGACCACCCGAGAATGAGCGTGTGCATGCAGGCAAGACCAGCCCAGCGTTCCGCTAGGTTTCTATGTCTCTGTTCCTGTGGGTGTTAATTCTGCAAACAGTTCTGCTTAGCACCATAAGGCAAATGCATCTGCAGAGCAAATGCACACTCATCAGCTGACACACCCTTTGGAGAAAACGGATGCCCAAATCAGGGCCTCTGAGCTCAGCTCTGTCTGGAGGTGAGAAGTAATGAAACAGATAATTGAGATCCAGAAAATTCAAGTCCGTGTTTCATCAACTCATCGCATTTGTTTTGACTCTATTAATTTTTACTTTATTATTTTTAATCTTTTTTTGCAGTGTGGGCGATTAAACCCAGGGCCCTGCACAAGCTGGGAAAGTGTCCTACCACTGGGCTACACTGCCACTCACTTCATTGTCACAAAATGGGAAAATAATGTGCCAGTGCTGTTTCAAAAGTAAAAAGGCCTCCCCATATGCATGAGTATGTCTCTCTCCTCTCTCTCTCTCTCTCTCTCTCTCTCTCTCTCTCTCTCTCTCCCTTCCTCTCCCCCACGCCCCTCCCTTTGTGTCTGTATGCATCTCCCTTCCCACGTCTCTGTGTGCGTCTGTGTGACCTTTCCATGTCTCTCTCTTTGTGTGTGAGATCATCTGCTTTCCCCTGCCCCCCCCCCCCCGCGCTGTAAATTCACTTAAAAGCACTCTTAAATTCTATGCTTTTTTTTTTCCTAACCCTCCTCTGCATTCTGATCAACTCACATGCCAAATCTGTAGACACTTAGTTTGAGGCCTGTGATTTCAAGTAAACATGTCAGTTCTAGGGCAACCGCTCTTTTCTTTATCCTTCTTCTCATCCACAGGGATTTAACAGATGCGTGTCAAACTGTGGTAGACATCTCCACAGACGTTCACATCCATCCATGGTTCTCACCCAAGGTCACACCTGAGGCGGCTCTGGCCAGGCTGATTAGGGACAGAGAACTGTGGCCACTACTGTTTGGTGCCAGCAGCAGGACAGACCCTGTTCCAGATCACCCCTGGACAACGGGCTTGCAAAAGCAGAGGACAAGGAGCCGGAGAGATGGCTCCGTGGTTAAGAGTGCTTGCTGCTCTTGCAGAGGACTGGGTTTGCTCCCAGCACCCGAATGGTGGCTCACAACCGCCTGTAACTCCAGCTGCAGGGGATCCCAAGCCTCTTCTGCCTCCAAGGGGGGAGCACCAGGCATGCCTATGGTGCGTATACATGCGTGAAGTCAAAACACATATGCATAAATATTTATTTAAAAATTTTAAGTAGACAGCAAGACCGGCAGATGGCTCGGTGGGTAAAAGGCACTGTGGCCACGCCTAAGGACCTGAGTGTGGTCTTTGGAGCCCACATGATGGAAGCAGAGAACCAATTTTAGAGAGTTGTTCTCTAATCTCTGTGTGTGTGTGTGTGTGTGTGTGTGTTAAACAAAACTTTAAAAAAAAAAAAATGGTGGAGCAGTATGATACCGAGAAGGTACCGAACCAGAGTCCCAATTCCTCCACTTTACATGTAGATGCAGGCTAAGCTACATGAACGACAATGAATTATAATTCTCACCCTCCCCATCAAGCATGCCATAGCATGCGGGGAAGGATCTAATACACTCCGTGGAAGTCTAGGGCAGTGCCTAACTATTACTCTATCCAGAGGCAGCATCTGGGTGGCACAATAAAGAGAAAACCAGGCGCTACTTTTAGGCTCTTTTTTTTTTTTAAATGCTCTGCAAGGTCTCCCTAGGTAGCCCAGGCTGGTCCTAAAGTCATGCTCCTTCTGCCTCAGTCTCCAGAGTCCTGGGATCACCAGCATGAGCCACCCACCCTGCCTTCCTCCTTTTCCCGCTTTCAGATAGAAAATGGAAGATGCTAACAGATATCCAGCGGCCTAAGGGCATGCTTTGTGGAGCCCCGCGGAGCCCTTGACTGCATTTGATTTGTGGTGGAACACTGCCACCTGGTGGCTGAGGCTTGAAGTACACCTGGAGTTGCTCTACTGACTGCGTCGTTATCAGTTTCCTCTGCAAGAGGAAAGGAACACCTTCCCTCTTACCTCCCCACCACTCAGACCTTTTGACGAGCTATTCAAAGGGAGCACTTTTTGAAATCCTAGCTGGATCGTTCTCTTCTTCAGCATCGTCCCTGTAGCTGTCTTGATGGCTTCTACTACGTGCCCGAATCTTCTGTTCTTTTTGGAAACTCTTGCTCTGAGCATGCTGTATCCCTCCCATCACTCCATGGATGCCCTGTCTTTCACCTCTGACCCAACACCAAACTCAGGACCCTCACTTCTCGGACTGCTCTGCTACATCTGCCTTGGTTAAACTATGGAGAGAGGGAGAGAAAGAGATAGAGAAATAGATCTTTCTTTTGGTCTCTAGGACACCGTTCCCTAGTCCACGGTGAGAACCAACCATTGCTTCTGTGATGTTCCGCTCTACAACCAGCTGCTGGACTTCAATTCAGAATTGTTTTTATTTTCAAAGTACTCTGTTGGGCAGAAGACAGTCACTGTTTGTGCCACTGAACTCCGGGATTCCTTGGGGACTTGCTTTCCCACAGCGTCCTTCCCCCGGTGGCAGGAACTCAGCCCATGGGAACAGTATGAGAGCGGTCCTGCACTGTTCTGGTCCTTACACTGGCCTGTGCCTCTTCCTGTCTGTTTCTGGTGGAAACCCTTCCTCCATTTGCCCCGTGAATCCCCTGTGACTTTCTATCCTCCTCTTTGTCTCCCAACATTCTGGCCAAACTGACACACACTAAGGAAGTGGTTGGATCTCCCAACTGACTGGTTTCCTTGAAAACAAGAGATTCCAATTGACCAGAGTCAGGGTAATTAAGAAGATCCTTTGCTTTAAAAAAAAAAAAAAAAACCTGAAATGCCAGGGCTACACAGAGAAACTCTGTCTCAGGGGGAAAGAAAGAAAGAAAGAAAGAAAGAAAGAAAGAAAGAAAGAAAGAAAGAAAGAAAGAAAGAAAGAAAGAAAGAAGGAAGGAAGGAAGGAAGGAAGGAAGGAAGGAAGGAAGGAAAGAAAGAAAGAAAGAAAGAAAGAAAGAAAGAAAGAAAGAAAGAAAGAAAGAAAAGGAAAAGGAATCCTAAAACAACCACAAACCCCACTTTCCTGCCATTGCCTGATTGTAATGATGTCCCCGTGCGTGTGTGTGTGTGTGTGTGTGTGTGTGTGTGTGTGTGTGAGAGAGAGAGAGAGAGAGAGAGAGAGAGAGAGAGAGAGAGAGAGAGAGAGAGCTCTGAAGTGCTTACTCTGGTCCGCAGACCAGCAGCTGCCTTGGATCCATGAAGTACAATGATGGCCGATTGCACCTGTCACTAAATTTGTCTCCACCCTGTCTTTGGAGCTGTTTATCACACGCACACAGTAAGCAGATTCCATGTCACATTGACTCCACATCTTCCAGCCCGTTCCAAGAAAGGTGAGTGACAGCCCGAGTCTCGCAGACCCGGCCAGGACGGGCAACTGTACTGAGGAGGAGCGGTTACCTTTTCTTTCGGATTCCATTCCAGCTTGGTTATGGAAATTAGCGAAGCACAGGCAATCACTTATAAAAGATGGTTAAGGAAAGGGTGGAGAAAACAGGTCCTTCACTATTCAGACGATTCGATGAGCATAATCACTACACAATGTTTAAATAGAACATTTCTATAGTCAACCTTGTAACCTCAGACCTCCAATCAGGACAGTAGCTAAGTCACACCAGGCTGCAGAACACTTGCCTGGCATGCCCAAGGTCTTAGGTTCAGTTCCCAGTACCACAAAGTAAATCTATAAATCAATAAATTATAGCATGGAAATGCAGTTATTCCTCAGCAATACTTTTCTGGGTGCTGGAGTGGTTTGAATAAGAAGGACCCCGATAGGCTTGATATAATTGAATGCTTAGTCACCCGGGAGTGAAGCTCTTTGGCAGTGATAGAAAGGTTAGGAGGTGTGGCCTTGTTGGAGGAAGAGTGTCACTTGGGGTTTTCAAAGCTCACACCCAGCCAGGTGTTTTTTCCCCCTCTCTCTCAGCCTATGGATCAGGATATAGCTACTTCTCAGCTCCTTCTCCAGCACCATGCCTGCATACCGCCATGCTCCCTGCCATGATGACAAGCCCCTGAACCTGTAAGCCAGCCCCAATTAAATGTTTTCCTTTATAAGAGTCGCCATGGTCGTGGTGTCTCTTCACAGCAATAGAACGGGAACTAAGACAGGTGTGTATAGTAAAATTTTCATCTGTGTCTATGTTTTGTTCAACCTGAGCATTTCTGGGTGTTTCCATTTAAGCTGTTTAAAGCTGGCCTAACTGGCTGACATGGAAATTCAAGGCAGGTCCTTTTTTAAAAATAAAAAAATAAACAACAACAACAACAAAAAACTCCTGCTACTGAATAAAAATATTCCTCTAAAATGTCATCCCCAAGGTGACAGCTTTCATGAACAGGAACATGCACAAAAATAAACTACCAGGGGCTGGAAAGATGGCTCAGTGGTTAAGAACACTGGCCACTCTTCCAGAGTACCCAAGTTCCAATTTCCAGAACAAGCAACTGTAACTCCAGTTCCAGGGACTCTGGTGCCCTCTGCTGGCTTCTGTGGGCACCACATAAACTTGGTGCACAGACATACATACATACATACATACATACATACATACATACATACATACATACAGGCATGCAAAGCACCCATACACATAAAATAATAATAAAAAAACTGAGCTATTTTTCAAATTCAAACTACTACCTTTTAGAAACAGACTTTTGAGGAGTGGTTGGAGAGAAGTGGAGACCCTTCCTCCTGACCCCGAATTTCAGAGCCAAGAGATTCTGCTTACGTCAGATTTGGGGGATAAAAGGCAAATCCCCTACAGACCAGTTCAATGATGCAGCCACGGAGGACCCTGCCTTCCCTGGACACTAGTACCTCACAAGGGCAGAGGCTGAACTTGGAAGGGAAAGGGAAAAAAAGATAGGGGGAAATAGAAAGCTCTAGAAAGTCTATTTTTTAAAAGTACAGGGAATTGACCCAAAGTGCTGAGCCAAAGCCAGTTTGTGCCTCCTCCGCAGTTCAGAGCCAACACGTCCTTTCCTGGCCCCTCCCTTCATATTCTGCAAAGCTTGACAGTTCTCAATTTCTCAGACTAAAAGCAGCCTGATAGCGTAGATGTTCCTTGATCATCTAATGGCCGTACTTCCGCTTCTCCTGGTTTCAAATCTATGAATTCTCTCCTCTATGTACTCCTTACTTCCCTCTTCAGGGCACTAGGTACCACCTTGTCTGGGAGTAGATGGGGAGCTCAGTCACACAGACTTAGTCTCAGCACCCAGAAATATTACAGTCCCATTCAACAAAGCCCAGAGAACATGACGTGCTAGAGAGGAGAGAACCGGGAACAGCATTGGCTCAGATAAAAACAAACAAAAACAAAACCATTAATTCAGTACGCACTGGCATTTGGGGTGCCGGGAATACATCACAGAGCAGCTCATCTGAGTCATGAAGTTAGAAGGCCTCTCTATAGCAGCCTCACCCCACTGAATATAACGTGTAAGCAAAATTTGCTAGTAGCCATGTTTTTAAAAACTAACAAGAGCCGGGCAGTGATGGTGCCTGCCTTTAAAATCCCAGCACTCGGGAGACAGAGGCAGGCAGGTCTCTGAGCTCAGCACCCAGAAATAGTGTCCAGGGAAGGCAGGGGCCTCCGTGGCTGCAAACTGGTCTGTAGGGATTTGCTATTTATCCCAAAAGTCTTACTTAAGCAGAAGCACTTGGCTCTAAAATTCGGGGTCAGGAGGAAGGGTCTCCACTTCTCTCCAACCACTCCTCAAAAGTCTGTTTCTAAAAGGCCCACCTGGTCTACAGAGCAAGTTCCAGGACAGTCAGGACTGTTACACAGAGAAACTCTGTCTTGAAACATCAAATAATAATAATAATAATAATAATAATAATAATAAATGCAATTAGTTTTAATAGTGTTTCTTATTTAACCCAACTTACTAAAATACTGTCACTGCAGTAATACTGATATATTATTTGATGTTATCTTATACACTGATAGGTAGCATATGTCCTATTGAACCTAATATTAATTAATAAATAATATTAATGGTGACAGAAGAGGAGTGATAGCTCACTGTTAAGGCTGTGTGCTGTTCCTCCAGAGGACATGAGTTTGGTCCCCAGCACACACACTGGGCAGCTAACAACTGCCTATAAACCACAGCTCCCAGGCATCTGATGCCTCTTCTGCCCTCTGTAGGCACCCATACACACACATACACACACACACACACATACACACACACACACACACACAATTTTTAAAAATTAAAAAATAAAATATTTATAATATAATTTTAATGTGCAATAATATAAAGAATTATTAGTGTAGCCGGGCGGTGGCGGCGCACGCCTGTAATCCCAGCACTCAGGAGGCAGAGGCAGGCGGATCTCTGTGAGTTCGAGGCCAGCCTGGTCTACAGAGCTAGTCCAGGACAGGCTCCAAAGCTACAGAGAAACCCTGTCTCAAACCCCCCCCCCAAAAAAAAAGAATTATTAGTGTAAGCTGGGTGTAATATCTCATGTCAATAATCCCAACACTTGGGAGTCTAGGACAAGAGTATCAAAAGTTTGAAGCCAACCTCAGTTACATAGAGTTCAAGTCTACTCACCTCCCACCAAAAAAAAAAAGAAAGAAAAAATTCCAACCAAAGCCGGGCGGTGGTGGCGCACGCCTGTAATCCCAGCATTCGGGAGGCAGAGCCAGGCGGATCTCTGTGAGTTCGAGGCCAGCCTGGACTACCAAGTGAGTTCCAGGAAAGGCGCAAAGCTACACAGAGAAACCCTGTCTCGAAAAACCAAAAAAAAAAAAAAAAAAAAAAAAAAAAAATCCCAACCAAGCAACCACCAAAAAAGCAAAGGAGGAGGGGGAACTTACGATGTCATCTACTCAGCTATATTCCTTTTTCTCTAATCAAGTCTTTGAAGTGAGTGTGTATTTTACATTTATGAAACATCTCAATTTGGGCTAGCCACATTTCAAGTATGCAAAAAGTCACACAGTTACTGTGATGGGCCAATAGCCCAGCTCTAAAAGAGCCCCCCGGGATGAGCACAGGCAAAAGCAGAGAACAGGAAACCACCATGCCTGGAGGGGAAAAGGTCACAATGAGCCTGGAGAGAAGGGAAGTCTCAGATCACATGCCTCAGGAACCCTGTGAAGGGTCTTTCTCTCTTCTTGTCTTCCTTCTCCATTCCTTTCTCTTTCTTTTTCTTTCTTCTTTCTTTCTTTCTTTCTTTCTTTTGTTTGTTTTTTGAGACAGGGTTTCACTATGTAGCTCTGGCTTGTCCTGGAACTCACTCTGTAGAACAGGCTGGCCTTGAACTCAGAGAGATCCTCCTGCCTCCGCCTCTGGGATTAAAGGAGTATGTCACCAGCTGCACCACCACCACCACCCATCCTTTTTCTCTCCCTTTTTCTTCTTTTCTTCCTTCCTTCATTGTCCTCCCTTTCTGCCTCCCACTCTCCAGTTTCTCTGTCTCTCTCTTTCCATGGCAGGTTTGGACTATTCCCACCATGCCTGGCTCCTGTTAAGTTTTTGGAAGCTTTAGAAGGTGAGGCAAGATGAGCTGATAAGCAGGAGAAGTTTAGAAACCCGCTAGGAAATCACAGGCCTCAACAGCTGGGTGTGGTGACACATGACTTTAGTCCCAGCACTCAGAAGGCAGAGGCAAGGGGATCTCTGAGTTCCAGGACAGCCAGGGCTACACAGAGAAACAAACAAAAAAAGAAAAAGAAAAATGGATGGACTAGCCTCACTCAGGGACTTAGTTTCCTCAGGAGTCAGTGATGCTGTTTTGTGTCAAAGAAATACTAAGGAGAAACTCGGGCATTCTAAGGAGCCTGCCAGAGAAACATTACTACCACAGAAACGATGGAGGCCACAGGCTTTTTCAGGAGGAAGTTTGGTGAAATTCGTTCAGGGTAATTTGTTGCAGGGACTAACCTGCTTCTGTGTGGGTCTCTGACCCTTTGGCTTGGCTAGGAATCTGAAACTCCTGGACATGAGAACAGGAAATGGAAATGCTCGGATGGGAAACTGAGACCAAAATGTCCCTTGTGCTGGGACTCTCTGGTTTGAGTATGGAAGAGATTTGCCTCTAGGAGTTGGAAGGAAAGAAAGGTTTCCTGCACAAGAAACTGTTCATGACACTACAAACGCCACTTACTTATACAGTTTACAGTCCATACAAAAAGGAAATCTATTTTGAGAGAAAGTATGAACATCTTCAAACTATAAACAGGACAAGGAAATGAGGAAGGAGTTGTCTTAGGAGCAAAGGCATGCAGTTTGTTAGTAAATTTCTCAGTGTCAGGGCTTAGTTCCTCCTTGACTGAAAATGTTATAATTAATAATCTCAAGACTAGGAGGAAGAACCCAGCTAGGTGGTACATGCCTGTAATCCCAGCATATGCCTATAATCCCAGTGTGTGCCTATAATCCTAGTGTGTGTCTGTAATCCCAGTGAGTGCCTGTAACCTCAGTGTGTGTCTGTAATCCCAGTGAGTTCCTGTAACCTCAGTGTGTGCCTGTAATCTGAGTGTGTGTGCTTGTAATCCTACTGTGTGCCTGTAACCCCAGTGTGTGCCTGTAATCCTAGTGTATGCCTGAAATCTCAGTGAACGCCTGTAATACTAGCACTCAGGAGGCTGAGATACAAAAGATGGGCCACAAATTCGTGGTCAGCCTGGGCTACAGAGTAAGACTCTGTCTCAAAACAATAATAAACAAATAATAAAGTAAAACTGCATACTTAGGCTATCTGATGTAATTGCTATTTTAGGAGGAAAACGGAGCTCAAAGTTTAAAGGCCATGATGTGATCTGAGGCTTGACCATTATACACCATGACCTGGCCTGCATTGCTTACAATGCCCATTTCTTTCCTACAATCTGACACAAGATCAAAAGATGGAGATTTTGCACCCTTGAAATACCATATCACTTTTCTTTTCTTGCTTTAAATACTTCATTAAAGAAAGAAAGGGAGCTGGGTGTGATCACACACACCTGTAATCCCAGCACTTGGCAAGCCGAAACAGGATGGCTACTGGCCAGCAGGGGATACATAACAAGGCCCTCTTTTAAACAAACAAATAAACAAAACACACATACACACACACGAGAAAGAGAGAGAGAGAGAGAGAGAGAGAGAGAGAGAGAGAGAGAGAGAGAGAGAGAAAATGTTTCCCTTTTTTTCTTTTTTTTAATTAAAAATAGATTCTACTCTGATATAACACATCCCCTCTCCCCCCACTCTTCCAATCTCCCCCAGACCTCCCTTCTCCCCCAGATCCACTCCCCCTCCATTTCCCTTCAGAAAAGAGCAGGCCTCCAGAGACAACAACCAACCCCCACAAAGCAAGACACAGTAAGACAAGATCAAAAGCCCTCACGAGGAGGAAGAGGGTCTTTCTTAAGAGCCCAGGCTGATCCCCCTGCCTCCACCTACCAAGTGCTGGACTTAACAGGCATGCACCTCTATGCCCGGCTTTCATTTCCTTTAGATCAGAATATATAAACACGATTAAATACTCATTTCCTTTTTTTCCTTGCTAAATTAGAAAATTTAGTGACTCTCATATTGAAAACAAGGTCGGCGACTACAAAAGGCTGAATGGATTTTGGGTTGACTTGATCACAGTGACTAAGTTTAAAAGGAAATCCCTGAGTTGACTTAATCCAACTGCCATGTCCCCAGCAGGCATGGAGTCCCGACACTCGGGATGTCGCAAAGCTGTTTAAGTACAATGCCAATATTTGGTATCTTTAACCAAGCACTTCAAAGAATTAAATATTTTCGGATGGCTTGTGAAACTGACCCGTGGGAGGGAAAAGCAAACAGACTCAAGTGTTCCTTCTTTTTTTTCTATCCCCCCCATTCACGTTTTTCTCTACCCCCCATTTCCCCCAAAGCCTGTTGGAATCTAATACTTCTGTAGTGGCATCCACTTTTCTCCTATTTGAGCCTCTGAAGAGTCTGGACACTTGGTAACTTTCCCTTGTCTTTTTAGTGCTTTAAGAACAGGGGTGTGAAGGGAACATCAGACTTGCCAGGACGAAGATTCTTCGCTTGGCTGCATCCTAAACCTTCTCCTGGGCCCATCTGTGCACATCAGTATAAAGAACAACGTAACTGGAATACAAATTTAGACTATAAAATCAATTTAACTAGATCCAGGTTAAGGTTAGTGTTAGTGGATTGGATGAGAATGGCCCCCGCGGGCTCATATATTTTAATGTTTGGGTCTCAGTTGGTGGAACTGTTTGGGAAGAATTCAGAGGCGTGGCCTTGTTGGAAGTACGTCACTGGGGGTGGGCTTTGACGTTTCCAAAGCCTTTGCCATTTCCAGTTACCTTCCTCTGCATCGTGACTGTGGCTCAAGATGTAAGTTCTTAACTACTGCTCTGGTGCCATGTGTATCTGTCTGCCCGCGGGCCGCCATGGTCCCCCCATCATGATAGTCATGGACTCTAACCCTCTGCAACCGTAAGCCCCAAATAAACCCTCTATAAGTTGCCTTGGTTGTGTGTCTGCCAGGGACTTGGTCCTAGACGGTGGCACTATTGGGCGATGTTCTGGAAACTTTATGAGGTAGGACCTATCTGGAAGAAGCAGGTCACTGGGGTCGGTCCTTGGGCCAGGGCTGGAGGAGTCATATCCCTGACCCCTTCCCCTACTTCCTCCTGCCCCTGCCTCTCTCCCTCCCCTTCTCTCCCTTCCCCTGCTCCATCCATGCTTTCTCTTTCCTGTTCATAATGAAGTAATTCTGTGCGCACATGCTCCCATTGTCATAATGGTCTGCCCGCGCACACCGGTCCAGGCAACCATGGGCTGAAGTCTCAGAAACAGTGAACCAGAAGTCTTCCCCCGGAAAGTTGTCTGTCGGGTACTTCGCCACAGTGACACCGAGTCTGATAAACTCACAGTTATCAATCTCCTCACCCCCACTCTCTGGTTATCTGAGTCGCCCCCACACACCCCCACACACCCACCATCCGTCTGATTGCCCTGAAGTGTCATGTACAAGCATCCTGCCAAGAAAGTTTAGCGAACCACCTCACGTCTCCTTAGTTCTCTTCTACCCAGCGCCCCCAAGCTGCTCCCTGGCTACAGACTCCCACGTCCCCACCTGAACTCAGTGAGTCTCTCTCCCTACTGCCAAGACCCCACTTCAGCAGTCCCCCGAGCCACTGCTACGGCCCGAGGTGGAACAGTCTGCTTCCTCGCCATGTTTTTCCGACGGACACGCAGAAAGGATACTGGGGACGACAGCCGCGCAGGAGACGGCCGAGATGGCCATCCGGACATGGCACGTGGTGAGGCTGTTCCACTGGGGACAGGATTTGTAGGAGATGATCGATTGCAGGAGTGTGTAAGCCACGCCGCAGACGAAAGCCAGAAGGGCGCCACCGTCGTGGACCACGGGCACAGCTAACTCCTGCAGAGATCACAGACGGGTTCTTACGCCGTGGGGAAGTGCCAACCTGAAGCCACCAGCACTCACTCTCTCTGGGAGGCTCCCAGCCAGTGGTTCTCATCCTTCCTAACGCTGAGACCCTTGAAAACCACTCCTCGTGTTGTGGAGACCCCCCCAGGCATAAAATATTTTCATTGCTACTTCATAACTGTAGTTTTGCTGCTGTTATGAATTGTAATGTGAATATCTGACATGCAGAATATCTGATATGCAACCTCCTGTGAAAGTCTTTTGACAACCCCCCCCAACCCCGGCAAAGGGGTTACAGTCCATGAGTTGAGAACCCGCTACGTGTCATCAGTATCCAGAAAAGCCTCCCACTGCTGATTAACGCCTGAGACTGAAGTTGCTTGTGTCACAGTTAGGCCATACCGAGATAAGAAAAAGACAGCATCCACCCAGGAGGAGCGCTATGCCGGTGGGCTGTAGAGCCTGGCAGTTCTAAATCAAAAGCCCTGACTCCACCCTAAGACTGTGACCTTAAGGTAATCAGAGCCTCCCTCTTGGTCGGCCATCAGCTCTGCCTTCTGTGCTCACAGTGAAGACTCTATGATAGCATCTCCTATAAAAACTGCACTTGGAGCAGGGCATGGTGACACACGCCTTTAATCCCAGCACTCAGGAGACAAGAAAACCTCTGTGAGTTCAAGGCCAGCCAGGTCTATAGAGTGAGTTCCAGGACAGAAACTCCTTCTAGAAAAATAAACAAATAAATAAAAATGCATCAATGCATTTAGAAGCCAGGTGAGGTAGCTCAGTCCTGTGATCCCAGGACTCAGGAGACAGAGGCAGGTGAGTCACTGTTAAGAACCAGCACACGCATGCACATGCTACAATACATCATGTTATTGTCTGTAAGTAGGATATCTAACACAGGCATACAGATACAGTTAGACATGAAAAGAAAGGGACAGTCTGTGTTTTAAAATATGTGTGCCCCTTTAAATGTGTGTGTACTTACAGAATTCAGGAAAACAATCTCTAAATGATATAGAGAAAAGCCTTTAAGATGAAAATTCTATATTATGTATATTTTACCATAGTTTTAAAAAACATCTTAGAAGAATTAAGAGAAAAGATTCCTTTCATTGCTCGACTGTAAGGCATATTTGGGTGAGGGCAAAATAGAAACCAATGCATCATCTGCTACTGAGTCACTTTCAGGAATAATCAGAATTCTGGTACTTTCCACAGTAATAGACATCCTGAATTTGAATATGCTTTCTCCTCCCACTAAGAGAAAATTTCCTTCCTCTGCTCTGGCCGTCTTGACACATCCTCTGGAGCTGAATCTGCAAGCTTCACGGGCTCCCTGGGAACGTTTACCCTGTCATGACCAGATTAGAAGACCCAGACTCTGCAGTGTTTGTTCTGATGTGTCTCCTTCACGATGGTGTATGTACGTGCTCTACCACTAAAGAGGTCTTGAAACTAGGTGTGGTGGTCCACACCCATTATCACAACACTCAGGAAGCTGAGGAAGGGGGATTCAGCAGCCATGGCCAGCCTGGGCTACATAGTGAGACCTCATCTCACAAAAAATAGTCTCTCTCTGCCCCACCTCTCTCTTTTAAACAGAGCTTCATGTAGCCCAGGCTGGCCTCTAACTCCCTCTGTAGTCAAGGACCTTAAATTTTCTATCTCCCTGCCTCCACCTCCTAAACGCAATAGGCAGACTTGCACCATACCCAGAATTATAGGGTGTTGGGGATTAAACCCAGGCCTTTGTGCATGCGAATCGAGCATTCTGTCAGCTGAGCCACATCCCCGGTGGCCCCTGGTCCTTTAGAAGGGGAATGGTTCTTAGGTCAGACATGAATTTTGGGTGGATGAGATATCCTTTGAACTCGGTAGCACAGAAAACATTGAGGGGGTTAAACCTTGGATTTTTTTTTTTTGCCATAATAAACATCTCAGTTTTAAAAAATTAGTGTTAACGTATAAATAATAATTGTATATATCCATGGTATTTATGTTTTTGTCTGTGTTTATAATGTGAAATGATTAAATCAAGATCATCTCTGTCTCTGTAGTGAGTGTGTACCACCAAGCCTGTCTTGTTTTATTTGTTTGTTTGTTTATTGAGACAGGAGGTTCTTGCTACGTAGCTGAGGCTGGCTTCCAACTCAACCCTCCCTCAGCCTCCTGAGTGCTAGGATTACAGGTGTGTGCCATCTCACTAGGCTTTATGGTTCTGTGTGTGTGTGTGTGTGTGTGTGTGTGTGTGTGTGTGTGTGTGAGAGAGAGAGAGAGAGAGAGAGAGAGAGAGAGAGAGAGAGAGAGAGAGAACGTGCAAGTGTGTGCCATCTCACTAGGCTTATGGTTCTGTGTGTGTGTGTGTGTGTGTGTGTGTGACAGAGGGGGGGGGGAGGGGGGGAGAGAGAAAGAGGGAGGGAGGGAGGGAGGGAGGGAGAGGGAGGGAGAGGGAGGGAGGGAGGGAGAGAGAGGGAGGGAGGGAGAGAGAACGTGCAAGCCGTGGTACGCGATCAGAGGAGAACTTTAGAAGTCAGCTTTCTCCCTCTGGGGGAATCTGGGGGTTGAACTGAGGTCATCAGGGCCGCACAGCAAGGGCTGACATCTGATGAGCCATCTCACTGCCCTGGTTGACAGTTCTTAATCGGCTTTGTTTCCAGTTCATCACTTTAACCACTCGGCTGTGACCACACAAGCATGGCTTTTTCTTCTTTTTTTCCCCCCTGTTCTGGCACCAGCCATCCTTTGGTTTTTTTGTTTGTTTGTTTGTTTGGGGTTTTTTTCTTTTGTTGTTGTTGTTTTGTTTTGTGTTGTGTTTTTGTTTTTGTTCTTTTTTTTTTTTTTTTTTTTTTTTTGCTTTTTGGTTTTTGAGAAAGGTTTTCTCTGTGTAGCCCTGGCTGTCTTGGAACTCACTCTGTAGACCACACTTGTTCAAATGTTAAATGGTCTTATTAAAAAAAAACCCAGAGCCTGATATTGGGGTAAATGATGAAAGATCAGAGAGACAAAGGAACAAGCCACCTCTTACCTCTAGGACTCCTCAGTCTGAAAAGCTTTCCTCAGCTGAAAGACTTTAGTTCCTGTCTCCTCACGCCTTATATACCTTCCTCTGCCCACTCATATCATTTCCTGTCTCAACTTTCCTAGTGCTGGGATTAAAGGCGTGTGACTCCCAAGTACTGAGATTAAAGGTGTGGGACACCACCGCCTGGCTCTGTTTCTCTCCTAGACTGAGTTAATCTCATGTGGTCCAGGGTGGCTTTGAACTCACGGAGATCCAGATGGATCTCTGCCTCCAGAGTGCTAGGATTAAAGGCGTGTGCTGCCACTGCCTAGCATCTGTGTTTAATCTAGTGGCTTGTTCTGTTCTCTGATCTTCAGGCAAATTTGATTAGGGTGCACAATATATCACCACACACACTGGTCTCAAACTCAGTGAGATCTGCTTGCTTCTGCCTCCCCACTGCTGGGATTAAAGACATGTGCCACCACCTCCAGGCTTCAGCCACCCTTTATTTCCATAAAATACACACTGAAATAAAATGTATTTATAGCCAGGCGGTGGTGGCGAATGCCTTTAATCCCAGCACTCGGGAGGCAGAGGCAGGTGGATCTCTGTGAGTTTGAGGCCAGCCTGGTCTACAAAGTGAGTTCCAGGAAAGGTGCAAAGCTACACAGAGAAACCCTGTCTTGAAAAACCAAAAAAAAAAAAAGTATTTATAAAAATAAAAGGTTAGTGTTCCCTTGCGTCAGCTCTTTTGGATTCTACCTATGAGGGAGATCTTGTGGATACTTGTCTTTTTGTGTCTGGTTTATTTCATTTTGTGTGGGGTGCTGTTCATGTGGGTGCAAATACGTGTGTGTTCATGTGTCCACACGGAAAGCTGAGGTCAACCTCAGGTGTCACTTCTCAGGAGCCACCCCCTTTGTTTGGACAGGATCTCTCACTGACCTGTAACTCACCAATGAGGTCAAGTCAAGAGGCCAGGGATCTCTCATTGACCTGTAACTCACCAATGAGGTTAAGTCAATGGGCCAGGGATCTCTCACTGACCTGTAACTCACCAATGAGGTCAAGTCAACGGGCCAGGGATCTCTCACTGACCTGTAACTCACCAGTGAGGTCAAGTCAATGGGCTAGGGATCTCTCACTGACCTGTAACTCACCAATGAGGTCAAGTCAACGGGTCAGGGAGCCTCAGGACCAGTGTCACCATCCCTGAGTTACCCAGGCTTCTAGGGATTAACTCGGGTCCTCCTGAAAGACCCTAACCCTTCAGGCTTATACCCCCCAAGCCCCAGGAGAATAAGAAACTAAAAAGAAAATTAGTTCCAAGGGCAAGCTGACTCCGCCATTATTCAACCACCCATGCCACAATGTAACAATGTAGAGAGATTTGTATTGAGATGCTCAACTACGACTGGGATAATTGCAAAGTGTTCCAGGAAGGACCACTGTGACCTTTGTGTAAACTCCACTCCCACCCTGATAATCCCCTTGAGGTTTTGGGAAGAATGTGCATGTGGACGTGACTGTACCCCCTCTGTGATCAGACCATGATCTTGAGAAATTAGCCTCTAGACATAAATCAATTGAAATGAAATTGTATGGGAATTGTAATCTTGTGGTTTTTGTGGGAGTGGAGTATGCTAAAATGCATACTACCCTCCCATTGAACAATTCATAATCACATGCTGATAATGCATATCATTCTAAGTTCCCCTCCCCGCTCCTAGCACACTTTCTGGTGGTAGAACTGTAAACTGTGCTGTCGCCTTTCATCACCCAAGGATTGGTTCAAAGAACCCTTATCCATCCCTGGCCTGCGGGCCATCCTGAAAACGCTGTACCGTATAAGGAAGCGGGCCTTTCACCCTAACTGTTGGCAAAGGTGCTCTATCATGATGCCCACCCCAGTGCTGACAGAGGGCATCTCCCTTGATGAGTGCAGAGACAGTGAGACTGTGGGGCTCGTGAGATGCACGCCAGGCTGAGGCCACTGTGACCATGCTCCAGTTCCACGCAGGAGTAGACGTTGGAGAATGGATGGGCAGAAGGTGATGGAGGAGGTTTGTGCTTATTCCTGTGTACGGCATATGCCCAAGCAGCCCACTAGAGTGAAGGTCGCCATCTTTTTGTGAAAACCAGCATGATACAAGGTCATTGCTGGTGGGGAGAAGGTGAGAGATTCTCCTGGGCAGAAGCCAAGGCCTCCTGTAGTAACCCATCCTGCTCTCACACAGGCAGAGTGCAGGACCATCACAGTGGCTATCACTCCAACAGCCACTAAGAACAGACTGTTGGCTACTGGATGCTGATTCTCCCATCCAATCCTCACAACAGTCTTAGGAGGTAGATGCTGTCAGTAGTGTGAACAGGAAATTCACAGATTTTTCTAACACATTAAATAGCTTCTCCATAGGCAAATCAAAATGCTTTCTTGGGAAAGACTGTGGGACGAGCAGGAATCTACAAATTAGAGAAAAGCGTGGGTACTGGAACAGAGGCCATATTTGGGTTCTGCAAACAAATTCATTGAATAAACCTGAGCAAATGATTTCACCTCCACAAACCAAGTCTTCATCTACAAAAGGGAGAGGTCGGGTGATGGCTTGTAGCCAATGGTAGAGTTATAAGCATTCCCTCTGAGGAAAATCGTTTACAAAGCTAACGTAGCTCTTTCTTGCTTCAGACTACATGAACAGAAATGGGAAGCCAGGCGTGGTACTCCAGGCCTGCAGTCCCTGTACTCAGAAGGCTGAGGCAGGAGAACTCAGCATTAGTAGTTTTAAGGTTAAGTGTGTGTGTGTGTGTGTGTGTGTGTGTGTGTGTGTGTGTGTGTGTGTGTGTGATTAAAATGAGGACTGCCAAGAATTCCAGGCCAAGCTGGGCCATATAGAGGGTAAAAAACTGTCTTAAAAACAAACAAACAGCAGCCGGGCGGTGGTGGCACACGCCTTTAATCCCGGCACTCGGGAGGCAGAGCCAGGCGGATCTCTGTGAGTTTGAGGCCAGCCTGGACTCCAAAGCCAGTTCCAGGAAAGGTGCCAAAGCTACACAGAGAAACCCTGTCTCGAAAAACCAAAACCAAACAAACAGACAAACAGAGAGCAGAGCTGAGCCTGCAGCACCGTTTGGGGTATACACTCTCACTGTCTTGTATATATCAAGCCCTTCTCTCCCAATTCCCAGGCAACACTGGCAATCGTGTTGAAACTCGATCAACCCAATCCTAATTCATTGACCTCATAGCTCATCCATAACCCTGGCAACACAAGGTGGTTTCTTGAATTCCTGCATCTCAACTCACACTCTGACTCTTTCATTGTCAACCACCCCAAACGCTCGGGCCATACCTGAAAATTGGCTACAATGCCCATTCCAATACATCCCACCAGTCCAAGAACTAGCGACACCAAGTTAAAGACGGGTGTGCCGAAATAGCAGGTCTCATTTTGCTTCTCCACTATTTTATATCTCGTGTACATCGTAGCTGCACCTGAAAAAAATATATAATCTAGTGAAATTTAATCCCTGATTCTTCTAATGAAAAACAAGAACATGTGTGAGTCTTTTTTTTTTTTTTTTTTTACAAAATTTCTTAATTATGGCTGAGAGTGTGACATGAGGCCTTGGGTTTGATTCCCAGCACAGGGGAGAAAGAAAAAAGTCCCGATTGCAACATATTTTGTTTTTCCCATTCTCTGCCCACATGCAGTGTACACACACACACACACACACACACACACACACACACACACACACAGACACACACAGACACCATCTTGGCTATTTTCATGTAAAGGGCATTACATTCCATGTGTTATTCTTTGACTTGCTTTTCTCACTTAACAGTGTACCATGAAGATTATTCCAAGTCACTGCAAAATCAGTCTACATTGTCATTTCCAGGAGGCTTCTATATGGTGTGTGAGACCCTGTCTTTATTTTGCCCTTCTCTTGTAGATGGATTTCTACTTTGCTCCCTGGGTTTTCCAGCTACAAACAATACTCCATCAACATTCCTGATTTGTAAGTTTGGGGCACGTTTTCAGAGCAATAGTCTGGGAAAAAAAAATACTCAGGATTAAAATGCTGAGAAGCAGGTCTCAATTGCTCTGAGTCAGCTGAGGTGGGAGAGTAACTGTGTGCATAATGCTTTTAACATAAGCAGCCGTCTAAGGAGTGAAACCTAGAAACTTTAGTTGGTATTTCCTCATGAGTGAGTGGTAACAGTTCCAGCCTTCTGAAAATTGCCTTTTGGCTTTCCACATGCCTTCTGAGACTTGCATGACCACGTTGCATTCATATTTCCCCCTTGGGTTCAAGTTGTAGAGGCTTTGACACATTCTGAACACCAGTCTTCTGTCTACTGCTAATACTAAATTTTTTCTTCTGGTCTGTTTTTAAAGTGTGTAAAACGTGTGGCCCTTGCTATGATAAGGTGGACTTCATGTGTACTGATACAGTCAAGGCCACACTGGGCAACCTAGAAGAGACCCTATCTCAAATTTTTAAAAAGTAAAAACTAGGTAAATAAACAGCAGTCTGGCGAGGGATGATGGCACATGGCTATACTCCCAGACCGTAGAAGGTTGAGGAAGGAGAATTGCAAGTTCCATGAAACCACTGGCTTACACAACCAATGTAAGTGGACCTGGCTATAGAGCAAGACTTTATCTGGAAGGGAAAAAGCTAAAACTGGACACTTAGCCCAACTTCAAAATTTGAACATATTCATGTCACGTATTGTGTCTAAAGCCTGAACCTGTCCTTGACTATGGTCAAATTAATTACTTGTTCTTCTAAGTCCGGCTCGGCAAAGATGTATAAAAAGGCCTCAGGACTGACTGGCCCTGTGTTTCTTTCTCTTTCCTCTTTCTCACCTCCAAACCCAGTTGGAAGAACCCACAGATGAGTGACCACATGAAACTTTCTATCAAGTTGCACACATTCTAAAGAGGCTCCCTCCCTCAGGAGGGTTCCGGGAAGTCCTCCTGGTCTACTCTGGAGAGGGAAGTGGGGGGGAGGTTGGCGGTGCTGGTTACACAATCAGCCCTGATGGCTCCACAGGGTGGAGGGGGAAAGGATTGACAGCCCCACATCTGACACCCGTTTCCTCCAATCCTCATAGAGGACCGGGTTTTGTATCAATGGCAAAGCAATTGGATTCACTGTACATGACATTAATGGACTCATGACAGGATTGCATCCCATTAATTATTTCTGCCCGGCTTCTGAGGAGTGGAAAAGAAAAAAAAGTCATCCCTGAGACAGACACAAACTACTCTGCTTTGATCTTTTTCTATTTCTCCTCACAGGTCAGCAGTTCCCAATCTGTAGGAAGCATCCAAGTCCCCTAAACTGTTTTGTTTTGGATTTATGGTACTAAGGATCAAACCTGGTACTGCCTCCATGCCAGCCAAGTGTTCTGTCACTGATCTACACCCTGGTTCCATGTGCTTATTTACAACATGTGTTCCCTGAGTTCTTGACTAAACAGATCTAGGTCGCTCAGGATCATGCTTCTAACCCCAGATGATTCTGTGTAAGCTGCTGAACCATCAGAAAACATCTTAAGACATTGTCTTATGCACTGAACTACACAAGTACCTTAGCTACAAAAAATTTTTTTTTGTTGGTGGGTTGTTTGTTTGTTTGTTTGTTTTTGTTTTTTGAGACAGGGTTTCTCTGTGTAGCCCTAGCTGTCCCGGAACTCGCTCTGAAGACCTGGCTGGCCTTGAACTCAGAGATCCACCTGCCTCTGCCTCCCAAGTGCTGGGACACAAGTAAGTTTTTAAAAACTAAATTACACTGAAAAGCCATTTCAGGGCTAGAGAGATGACTCAGTGGTTAAGAAATCTTGTTGCTCCAGCATGAGGACTGGAGTTCAGATCCCAGCATCCACGCTAAGCGGCTCAAAAATGCTTGTAACTCTAGGGGATCTGACTTCCTCCTTCTAGCCCCCCAAGGGCACTGACACATACGTGTTTGTGTACACACACCAACAGTAAAAATTAACCACCCAACATGGGCATGTTTGTGCACACACACACACACACACACACACACACACACACACACACATACACACACACACACAAATAATAAAAGTAAATCTTAGATAAACTAAAAATTTTAATTCCATTTTAGAAGTTTGGGATTTAAAACTACCTCTTACAATTCCTGTGTCTGATTACCAGATAAAGTATAGTTCTATGAAGCTATACATAATTTTGAAATTTTTACATACTTAAGTCTCTCAAAGTAGTGTAACTAGAGTTACAAAGGTAATGCTTTTTTGTAAAGTACACGAACTATAAATAACACTTTATTTCACATGAGATCTTAAATTTCTCATTTATAATAATAGTGTACTTACCAAGAAATGCGGAGAAGTTTATCATGAATCCAAAAATACCACTCTCTGGAGGCGTGGTTCCCGTGTCACTGAGAAGGAACAAAAATAAAATAGCTGAATTATTTCTAAAGGAATTTCAACTCCAACCCCTGGACAGATGATTGGTCCATTTTATATTGGTCTTTCTAGGTGTTCAGACACTGAATTTCACAGGTATGACCTGTGAAAGTTGTTCTAAAATATTTTTGTTTGGGCGCTAAAGAAACCTAAAACTTGTTTTCTACTAAAAAAAAAAAAAAAAAGATCACATTTAGGGCTAGGGAGATAGATCTGTCAGTGAAGTGTTTTTGCACAATCGTGAGGCCTTAGGTTCAATTCCCAGCACCTGTGTGAAACATCTAGGTGTGGTGCCTCCCACTTGCAATCATAAGGAACTTACTGCTGTCCAGTCTGCCTAGATGAATCAGTGAGAGATACTGTCTTGAGAAATAAATGGGGATTGAGTTTGTGATTTGCCCTCCAGCATCCACAAGTATGTGTACACACACAAGCACCTATACCTGCACTGCACATACACGAAGACACCATACACACTATAGTACTTTGAAAGAAAATGGCCCCCAAAGGGCATGGCATTTTGGGGGAGGTGTGACTTGTTGAAGTAGGTGTGGTCTTGTTGAAGGAAGTGTATCACTGTGAAGGTGGGCTTTGAGGTCTCATTTATGCTCAAGCCACATCCATTGAATGATGACTTGCTGTTGCCTAGAAGCCAAGATGTAGAACACTCAGCTAGCTACCTCTCCAGCACCATGAACTGAACTGTAAATGAGTCACCACAATTAAATGATTTCCTTTGTAAGAGTTGTCATGGTCATGGTGTCTCTTCACAGCAATAGAAACCCTAACCAAGGCACATGGATAAAAGTTAGAACATGTTTAAAATAAACAACATGACTGTTTCTTAAACAATCCCACCTGATAAGCTCAATATGAAGAATTGAGTGACACTATTTTGAAAATAAAAATAACTGAATAATAAGTTTGAAAATTCTATGGTTGAGATATTAAGTGCATATAAATGCAACACTTTGTAATGACCGGATTTATGCACAATAACATAATACTGAGTGATATTATTGATCACTACTAAGTACTTTATGGAAACCCCACCGGAAGGGACCTTCATTCATAGCTGTCCTCAGCTACAAGCAGCCCTTAGGCCACGAGTTGAACATGACCCCTAACTTATCAAAAGTGTGCTCATTTGGTCAATCATCTTAACAAAAAGAGGTTCCTATTTAAAAAAAAAAAAAAAAAAAAACTTAGATGCAGTCTATCAGTTCCTTAGGTGACTCAGAAAGCAGTGTTGAAGACCTGGGAGCATGGCTCAGTATCAAAGTGCCTAGCATGCACAGGCACCCAGTTCCATTCAGAGGAAGTGTGTGGGCATGTTCTAGTTTCTTTTCGTGGGCACCAGGTTAAAAATGTCATCAGGCCACTCACAAGCACCCTTCCAGCTTAAAAAGGATGACAAAGGTGCTCCCAACATGAAACAGCTTGCCCTGGTTCCGGGTGCTCCCGCTCTTAAAAATAGCTCTGAAACGTGTGTGTTGAAAACTGATCACATTGCAAAGACACACTTCCAAGCATGCGGAAAATTCTACAAGAAGCCTGTGCTTGCAGAAAGCAGGAAGAAGCGCTAAGTGTTGTCGACACTTAACTTTTAAAGAGGATGTAAAGGGGCCAAGCGTGGCTAAGACAAACACCTTGACTCCCCGCTATTTCCATTTTGTCCTCAGAGCCTGATTAGGACAGAGCCTCCCACTTCCCCAGCTCCCTAAACTTAAGGAGGAGGGCTGGAGAAGGCTACCCATGTGCAGGGTGCCTTCTTGAGCCCAGGGCTGAGTGGACGGGAAAGGGACAAGAGCCAGGAACAGAATAATGGCAGAGAGAGCCTGAGCCCTGGGGCAGCACATTTGCCAGATGATTAAGTCTGAAGAGAATGTCAGTCTTCCTGTTTCCACCTTAGGGTGTAAAAAAGCAACCACCAGTGAGGCGCCTCACGGTTCTTGACCCTCATCTACCACCTTAGGCATGCCGGGGAGATGAGCTAGGGTGATGGTTTTGGAAAGGGAAAGAAATAGCATAATGGGTTGATACTCAAGAAAGTGTGTGACTGCCGGGCGGTGGTGGCGCACGCCTTTAATCTCAGCACTTGGGAGGCAGAGGCAGGCGGATGTCTGTGAGTTCGAGGCCAGCCTGGGCTATAGCGCGAGTTCCAGGACAGGCTCCAAAGCTACACAGAGAAACCCTGTCTCGAAAAACCAAAAAAAAAAAAAAACAAAAAAAAAAAAAAAAACCAAAGAAAGAAAGTACGTGGCTGGGGGATAAAAACATTCTGAAAGGCCAGAGGAAACCAGCTAGACTTGGGCATGCGTCTATTGATGGCAGACCATGGTATATGTCAAAAGCCTGGATGTACACTCCATATGGCACCAAACATGGGATCTGAAAGTTCAGAAGTTCAGAATGGTATTTTACTCTTGTTTATCTATTTCATACCACATAGGTATGGTGTGGCTCATCGGTGAGTGTGTGATTAATGTGAAGGAAGGTCTCAATTGAAAACAGGACAATAAATAAACAGATGAACAAACAAACAAATCCCTACAGGCAGGATATAAAGCACCCTGTAAATAACGTATTCATTTACCTATGTGTTCATTGAATGAATGACTCTCACTCCCCACCCCCAAAAAGACTAGTCAAGACTTGGTGGACATACACCTGTAATCCTAGCACTTGGGAGGTTCAAGCAAGCTATAAATTCAAGGCCAGCTTGTGCTACATAGCAAGACCCTGAAACAAAAAAGACCTAATATATATATTACTTATTGAATACTAATTATGCATCAGACATGGTTTTATATTTACTGTATTGTTTGTAATTTAATCTTCAGGAGCCTAGTTGAATGTGTATGGGGGGGGGTGTCCGAGCCTAACTGAATGTATATGGGTGTGTCTTCTATAAATTTCATTTTACTCAGGAAGAAATTGGGTATTTGGGAAGTTTCATAACTTTTTCAAGTTAGAGGACTCTATACCAAATGTCCAGCTCCTTGGTTCCTGGTAGTCAAACAAAGTCATCAGAATGATTGGGGAGAGGGACCACTGTGGTGGTATTGTGTTCCCCAAAACATTGTGTACCTTAATAAACTTATCTGAGGTCAGAGAACAGAAAAGCCACTAGTTAGGCAGGGATAGCACACGCCTTTAATCCTAGCATTCCAGAGACAGAAATCCTTCTGGATCTTTGTGAATTCAAGGACGCATTGGAAACAGCCAGGCATGGTGACTCACACCTTTAATCCCAGAAAGCAGCCTTTAATCCCAGGGAGTGGTGCTAGAAAGCAGAAAGGCTTATAAAGCGTTGAGGACCAGAAACTAGAAGCATTTGGCCTGGTTAAGCATTTTGGCTGGTTAAGCATTCAGGCTTCTAGCAGCAGTTCAGCTGAGAGCCATTGGGATGAGGACACAGAAGCTTCCAGTCTGAGGAAACAGGACCAGCTGAGAAGTTGGCCAGGTGAGGTAGCTGTGGCTTGTTCTGTCTCTGACCATCCAGCATTTCACCCCAACAACTGGCCCCGGGTTTGACTTTATTAATAAGAACTTTTAAGATTCATGCTACAGACCACTGATGTGCCAATAAATGTTTAGCAGGCCGCTCTTGAAGATGCTTGTTTTTTTTTTTTTTTTTTGCCAAGTCCTTAAGGAACGTATATCCAACATGGGAAACAAAAGTTACCAAAATTCAAGACACTGAACATGGAGTTGGAAAGAGAAGTACATGGATGACTGTCGGGAGGCATGCCCGCTGGCCCCAGCACGCCACGGGAAAGAACCCCCATGGTAATGAGAAGGGACCACTAGGTCTTGGCTGTAGACCAGGAAGCGATTAAGGAGGTAAGAACTCTCGGCTCTTCAAACAGCAGAATTTAGTTATAAAGTCTCTCCAACAAGCAATGCCACTATGCTGTATCTCGTTTTTCTCCAGGATTCTGAATGCACAGTAGCTATCATCAATGTGTTAGTTCACACCCAGGAGGCTCGTATATTCGGCTACCTTTTCACCACCATAGGCCGCTGTCAACACTACAACTACTTAAAAAACAAAACTTTGCTATAACTCTTTACAAATAACACTATAATTTATTCACTTATCAATAAAACTTATTAGAATCAATCAGAATTCATCAACAAGAAGTGGGTTGCTCATTCCGTATTCCCAGCATATGAGAAGCTGAGGCAAGAGGATTGCCTCAAGTTCAAAGCCTGCCTAGGCTTATGGTGTGAAATTCTGTCTCAAAAAAAAAAAAGTCAGCAAACTATCTGAGATACAATTTGAGTCAGAATTTCCTAAATCTGTCTGGTAAGAATTGTCAGATTTGGGGTTTTCTATTCACAGATGAAATGGTACCTAACTGCATGAGCCAGTTTTTTCTCAAGAATATTCATGAAAATTCTCTAAGCAGCAAATAAAATCTGGCCATATCTACAAACTTTATAGAACAGTATTATTGGGGCGAGAAGACAACGGAAGATGAACCTACTATGTGGAAGGGGTAAAGGACATGCATGATGTGAACCTACTATGTGGAAGGGGTAAGGAACATGCAAGATGTGAGCCTACTATGTGGAAGGGGTAAGGGACATGCAAGATGTGAACCTACTATGTGGAAGGGGTAAGGGACATGCAAGATGTGAACCTACTATGTGGAAGGGGTAAGGGACATGCAAGATGTGAACCTACTATGTGGAAGGGGTAGGGGACTGGGATGAGGACAGAAGGAATGGAGGCTGGGGGATGCCTTGTAGGAAAAAGACAAACAAAAACAAAATATAGTAGTATGCCTATTCCATAATTAAACCTGTCATTGTGTATGCTAACTTAAAATAAATAATAGTAATAAGTAATAAATAATAGTATTGTCTGCTCATTAGTAAAAGGGTTCTTATTATCAATGAAAAATGTCTTCATGCTGGGTGTGATAGTGTAAGTTTTTAGTCCCAGCACTCAAGAGGCAGAGAC